AGAATCTGACTTGGCCAGAAGTAACAGTGAGAGTTCTGCTCACATTCCAGAAGCCAAAGCAAGTCACAAGGCACTGAAGTGGGAAGGGTTGTCCTTTTTAGGGAACCACCTGATAAGCCATGGCAACAGGAATTTTTGGATAGCAGCACAATCTAATCCTGTGCTTACTGTAACCTCTACTGGAAAAATAGACAACTGTGCATATATAGAAATACATAAAAGGAAAGAAAGACAAAGGATATGGCACAAAATGCATATAATTGTTGGGTCCAGGTAAAGGAGTAATGGTTATTCTTTCCAACTTTTCTGAAAAATTTAAAGTCATGTTAAAATTAAGTTTCCTGTATACACAAGTTACATCCATGGCACAATGCTATAGGTCCTACTGCTTCTGGTGAGGCAAAGGCAGAAAGAATGACAGCTAGTCGAACTCATTTAGGGTACTTGATAACAGTGGCTGCACAGGACAGGTGCAGTGGAGATGCTTAGGCATGGTGCACTGTGTTCCACACTTCATCAGGGGCCCTCTCATTCCTTCATTCTACACCTAGTTATTGAACACCTACTGGAGGCCAAGCTCCTGCAGGGCTCTGAGGACAAGGTGGTGGATGACACTCGGCAGACAGAGATGCTCTCGTGAGCAGCACACAGAGTGGTGAAGGAGTCAGAACGAAAGTCACACAGTAGTGCCCAGAAGCTCAGGTGCTGGCTGGAGTTGTCAACTGCATAGACAGGGACCGGCCTTCTAGTGCACACACGGACAGCTGTCAGGCAAGCATCTCCCATCCTGGGCATCTGGGTTTCCTAATAAGGCACATGCATGTGCTGTATGTGAACATGGTGGGGGGCAGAGCAGGTGGCAAAGTCACAGTGTGCACTCTGCATGTCTTCCTGGAAAGCTTTTTGGGTGTCAAGATTTACTGAAGGTTGGAGGATCTACTTCTTTTATATTTAAAGCAACAGAAATGTGGGCAAGGGACATAAGAGAATTTTTTAGGATGATAAAAATGTTCATTTGCTTGATCATGATGATAGATACAAAGATGTAGAAACTGTAAAGTTCACTGAAATGTACACTTAAGGGGTATGTTTCATCATATGGAAAATTTTGCCTCTATGAAGCCAATTTCCAAAAAAATAAAATAAAAACAGAGCAATAGGAAAATTATGCATTTATTTTGGAGAGGCTTGGAGAGATGAGTAACTTTCCCTAGATCACATAGAAACTGAAGGTAGGAGCAGTAAATAAAAGCCTGGAATATCTGACCCCAAAATTGGTGCCGTTAGCTATGACTAATACATAGACTTTATTTATCCACATGGACAAAATATCTTCCATGTTGAAAAGCAGCATTACCAGCTCAAAATCTGCCCCAGCACAGAGACTTCAGAATTAGAAAGGAATCGAGTGGCCCCAGTGTCCTTCTCTTTTCTCCCCTGGCCCTTGACACACACAGATGCCCTATCTGTGGCCTTGGTGGACTTCTGGCCCCTCAAGTGTTGCCCTGGAAAGTTCTGTCTATTCTTGTGCCAGCCTGCCCCTCCTTTCTGTTCTGGCCCTGGGGTTTTAGAAGCCTTGCCTAACTTGTTGCACCCTACCTAACCGTATTGTGTCGCCCTTGCTGTTATTCTTCCACAATTTGAGGGGTTAGGAGAGGGCCCTTCAATGTGGTGGGAAACAGGGTCCAATTTATTGATCTATTTTACAGATGCAGCAGGAGGGCTCAGAAAGGGCCAGACCTACCTAAGGTCACACAGTTTCCTGAGCTGGAGCCAGGACTCACCAGTTTTGTTTGATCGAAGACCCTGGGCCCTTCCCCCAGTAGGCAAGTGGGGGAAATTTGTAGGGATGGGGTCAAAACAAGGGGGGGTCAGAGAGGTAGAAAGACCCTTTCATTTCCCCCTACCCTCAGCCAGCTCTGCTCTGTCAGCGGCTGAGAAAACCCCAGTCCCTGAAGGGACGAAGCTGCCGGCCTCTTGCTGAGTGACTGCAGACCACATTTTTCTTAATCTAAATTGAAAACTGCTCAAGTAGAAAAATCATTTCACTGCTTCATCTCAGGAAGGAAAAGAAGAAGAGAGGAAGGGGGGGGCGATTGTAGCCACAGAGAACAGGCAGTTGGCTGGCAAGCTGGTCTCTACGTGCCCTGAGGCCAGCCCTGCTCCATCTGGCCACCCCAGACCCAGGGTCCAAGGAGCTGGGTTCACCAGGTAGCTGCTGCAGTCACTCAACAAGTTCTGAGCCCAACTAGGCACCAGACAGACCCCAGGCCAGCTCTGGGCACAATGAAACACAATTGGGTCCAGCTGCGGTCCTTAGGGGGCTTCATCCTACTAACAAATATTTCTGGAACACTTAACATGTATTTGGCACTGTCCTACATGCTGGGGATTTCAGAATGCCCTGCCCTCCTGGAATGCACTGTCCAGTAGGGAGGTCAAATTATGAAACTTGGTGAGTAGCAAGCTGAGCTCAGCTCTGAAGGTGCATGAGAGTGAAGTGGGTGATTATTCTATGGCAGAGGGGAACTGTGACTTAGGCTGGGCAGTCAGAGAGGACACCCCCCGCCCCAGAGGAGGTGCTATTTTAGCAAAGGCATGAAGGGTAGGTAGTAGTCACCGAAAGCATAGGCAGAGGTGGGTCAGAGATCAGAGTGGGGTGGCATCCTCAGGATAGAGGGAGATACTGTAGGAGGTTGAACCAGGCTGACTGGATTCTAATCCCACCTCTGCCAGTAGCTACCCACATGATATTGGACAAATTAACTAACCTTTCTGAAAAGGGCCTCAGTTTCTTTATTTGTAAACATAGAATTATTATCAGGATTAAGTGGGTTTATGTATATAATACACTTAGAATGGTTCCTGAAACATGATGTTTTACTAAATAGGGAAACAGAGCCAAACATTGTGGTACACTCCTATAATCTTGGCACTCTGGGAGGCTGAGGCAGAGGATCAGCAGCCTGAGGAACTTAGCAATTTAGTAATACCCTGTGTCAACAAAAAAGTTAAAAATAAAGGGCTGGGGCTGTAGCTCAGTGTGAAGGCCCTGGGTTCATTCCTCAGTACCAAAGCAAAAACAAAAACAAAGAAAAACCAAAAGACCAGAAAGCTCCAGCATGTACACAGGCCCCAGTGCAGATAACTGCAAAGCAAGCCTAGGAAGAAAGCTGTGAACAAGCTTTATCCCAGGGCAAACACAAGCCCAGCACATGCTGTAGAAATCACCAGTGCACAGCAGAAAGGACACAACCTACTTCCCTTACCACTGTGCTTGCCTGGCTTGGTACTGAGATGTGACTGGAGTGGCCCCTGTGACTGGAGTGGCCCCTGTGTCTGGGTTGGGCTATCTGTCAGTCTCATACTATGTGTTGGGTCCTGAGCCACACAGGAAACAATTTATAAGGGGCAACCTAGGTAGGACAGTCGTTTAATATTTTGCCCAAACTCAGACATTTTGGACAATGAAAAAGCACAATTAATATTTATAACAGAAAGGCATATGTAAACTTAGACCTAGGGTCCCCCCAAGCATGAGGTTGAGGGGGCTGGCTTAGTGCACTTGGGCACTGATTTGATGTCTTGGACCTCAGTTTCCCCATAGGGCGGGTGATAATGCCTACCTCTGGGAGTTGTGAAGATTAAAAGAGCCAGTGGGACAGCAGGTCCTGAGCACAGTGACCCTGAGTAGGCCAGCAGTAAACGTCAGAGATTACTATTAAACATGCAGTCGATGAATTTCCCAGTCTTTCTGTCTCCCCCTGTATCCATCTCCCTGTTTCTCAGATTTTTTTCCTTCCATTTCCCTGACACCTTTCAGGATCTAGGTCTAGTCTGATTTGCTGTGTGTCCTTGGACAAATCCCTCCCATTCTCTGGGCCTCTCTTCCCATCAGACCAGAATGCAGTGACAAGGCTGCTGGGACCCACCTCTCCTCCCTCGCCTGTTTGGTTGCCCTTCCTGGCCCTCCATCCATCCCTGGACTCATTTTACAGGTCAGTTCCCTTTAATTAGTGGAGCTCTGAGCCTTTTCCCTCGCAAAATGGAAACTGCAGGTTCATCAAAATCTCATTAACCTCCATTCTCCCCATGGCCCTGTAGGGGTCAGGCCTGTCTCAGCCTGGGGAGGCATCACATCCCAGCAGGCGAGGTCTGGGTCTGGCTGGGGCTGGGTGGGATGAGGGTCCTGGTTTGCTGGTTGCAGACACTATTCCAGCCACAGTGCCCAGCACTGCCTGTCCTGGCCACCTGGGGGTCAGAGGAGAGAAGAGCCCTTTAGCACTTTAATTTGAAAACTTGCTAGGGGACTGGGGGACGCTGGAGCAGAGGGAACTGCTGGCTTCAAATGAATTAATATTTCACTTGTAACTGGCAATTTTCTCTGCTTTCATGTCGCCTGGCTCTTTTTTCTTCTTCTTTCATTATTTTCTGACTTGGAGAAGCAACGTGATCTACTCCTGTCCTCTCTGTCACAGTCCTAATTTTTAGTCAGGGACTTGTCAGAGTCCACATGGGCAAGACAGTGCTGGGCCTGCTCAGGGGAGGCTCCGGGTCCCCGCATGCCATCCTCTAACTGCATGGTCTTGGGCAGGTTGCTAAGCTCTCTCATCCTCACTATCCTTATCTGTGCTGAGGACCAAGGAGATCCTGAGTGGCAGCCACTTTGAAAACCATAGTGGGAGTTTCTTAAGACATTCATGTGCTCATGTCAGAAATCCCATTGATCCCAGTACTAACTTATTGCTTAAGAGAAATGAAAACATATGCCCACCAGAGACCTGAATGCAAATATCATGACAGCTTGATTCATAATCACTCCAAATCAGAGACAATGCAAAGGTCCAATAACTAGTGAATGGACAAATTCCATTCTAGTAGCATTCCAGACATTGGAATACTACTTGGCAATGAAAAGAAACGAACAGCTGATATACACAAAAACACAAATTTCAAAAGCATTCTGCTAAATGAAAGAAGAAGACCCCAAAAGGTTCAGTATTGGGTGATTCTATTTAATGGCATCTGAAAAAGGCCAAACCACATCAGTGGATGCCAGGAGCTGGGATAGGAGATGGAATCCACCAAGGGGCACAAAGCAACTTTCTGTGGTGAATGGAAATGCACATCTTGATTGCAGAGGTGGAGATACTGCACACGTGTCTTTCACAACCCATCCAACTGCACGCTTTAAAAGAGTGAATGTGACCCAGGCATGGTGGCCCATAATTATAATCCCAGCACTCTGGGACGCTGAGGCAGAGTTGTAAGTTAAGATCCTGTCCAAAAAAAAAAGAAAAAGAAAAATTAAAAGGGCTGGAGATATAGCTCAGTGCAAAGGCCCTAGTTTGGAAAATAAGAGTTAGTGTGATTGTATGGAAATTAATCCTCAATAAAACTTCTTTTAAGAAATATTAGGGCTGGGGATTTAGCTCAGTCGTTCCTCTGCCTGCCTTGTAAGCACAAGGTCCCGAGTTCGATCCCCGGTACCAAATTTAAAAAAGAAATATTAGCCAAGGGCCGGGGATGTAGCTCAGTGGCACTGCACCTGCCTGGCAAGTGCAAGGTCCTGAGTTCTATCTCTGGTACCAGAAAAAAAAAGGAAAGATAAAGAAATATTAGCCAATGATTGCATTAGCTAATTTTTAATTTTATTTTGCTCTTTTAAAAACAAGGTTTAAATACAAATAGACCATCCTACCGAGTATCCTGATTGTACATGTATGCAATCTGGGTGACTTCTCAGTTTTGTGCATCCCATCCAGATGCAGTGGGGACACTCCCATCCCCTCTCTGAGACTGCCACCGTCCAAGCTCATCCCTGCACCTCTCACCACACCTTTGTGAGACTGGGAGCTCATGTATATAATCATCCAGAATATAATTCTTTGTGTTTGACTGTTAACTAGTGAAAAACACAACACAGATTGTGTTACTTCTGAATCTGAAGTTCTCCATGGTCTCCCCAGTAGGCTCCAAGTAGAACCCAGGCTCTGTCTGCCTTGCAGACTTTGGTGGCCTCTACCGCCAAGGTGCCCTTCTGGTTCTCTCTGCCACACCAGTCTTCTTCAGCCCTTTGAGAGCCCCAGCTGCTTCCACTTGTGTGGTTTTTGCCTTCATCTGCCCTATCCTAAGAGCCTGGCTTCTCCCTGGCTTTCAGGCCTCTGTTTCTAAATTGGCCCTTCCCCAAACCTCACCCTGATGGACTCCCCACTTTCACCACTTGGTCATTTATCATTGCAAGCTTGTGGACTCTTCTGCAGCCCTCACTGGGGTTTGCAGTTGCTTGACTGATGGGGGTCTTGTCTCTCCCTTCTTGGCCTGAGGCTCCTTCGAGGCAGGGGCTGGTTTAACCCATCCATGGATCCTGGGGGCCCAGGCCAGTGCTCAGGCACTCAGCAGGCTGACTGAGTCAATCCATGAACATCAGCTTGCAATCTGGATGTTAGCTTCTCACACACCTCATTGTTCCTCATACTAACTCTGACTCTGTGAGGGAGGCAGCCATCATCAGCCCTCCCCCGACAATAGTACTTAGAGAGTTGGTCTGGTGGCCCAGGTCACACAGCCATCCTGGCTGAGCTGGGACCTATCACCTCCTCCCTGCCTTCTTTACCACCTCCCGAGACCATCTTTCTGCTGTTGTCATTGCTAAATTAGAGTATAATATAACATTATAAGTGTACAGTTTGATGAATGTTCACTAGGGCCTAAACTCAGAGGATCCTTGACTAGATCAAGTGGGAGATCATTTCTATCGAAGCTGCTTTAATGGACCTTCCTAGTCAATATCATCCCCTTCCCAAGGATAATAATTACTTTCATTTCAAGCACCATAGTTGAAAATTGCCTGTTTTTGAATGTCGTATAAAGGGATTCATTCAGTATGACCTCTTGTGCCTGATTTCTCTCGCTCAACACAATATCTGGGAATCACCACGTTTCTGCAAGTAGCAGTAACTTGTTCCAATCTTTATTGCCACACAGTGTTCCATTGCACAGATATATTGCAATCTGTTTATATCCATTCTGTGGATGGGCATTTGAGTTGTTTTCGAGTTTCAGTGATTGTAAATACAGCTTCTGCAAACATCCTTTTGTTAGACACAGGCACATTATTTCTCCTGACTGGAGAGGTTGGGTCACTGAGCAGGTATGTGATTAGCATTCTTAGATATTGCCTGTTTTTCAAAAGGCTGGTACCTCATGTATTTTAGGGACCCAGCAGTTAGAAGGTCTAGCGTTAACTCCCCTGTGTCCCCCAGCTTTGCTAGATTGGGTAAGTCACTGTGGTCACTCCTCAGCCAGGCACTGGGAGCCTGAGCGTCTGGGCTCCATTAGCAGTCACAGCAGGAGAAGGGGTCGTGGCAGTGAGCTGCAGCATGGCCCTTTCATCTGGGAAGGTGGCTGGCTTGGTGAGCCCAGCAAAGGTTAGGCTGCCTTGCATTTTCCCCTCCAATGAGTTCAGCTCTTAGGGGCAATTAGCCATCAGCAGAGCAGGGAGCTCAGAATGCTAACCAGATCTAGCATATTCTGGGGAGCAGTTTTCGCCTCCACTTGGGCTGAGGAGCTGCCTTGTGAACTAGAGATCTAGAGGAGAGGAGCATCCTTTACTATTGCTTCTATGCACTTTGTTAGTGTCCCGGGTCACCAGATGCTCTCTAGTAGGGAAATGGAAGCAGCATCTGATGCTATTCTGCTGTTGCATGGCTCCAGGAGCAGGATACTCATCACCACTCCTGGCTGCTGCTTGCATCCCTGGGATGCCCTGCCCATCACACAATACAGCACTTCTTTGTTCATGGTCATGCTGTTTCTAACAGCCCAAAATTGAAAATGAACTGCAAGTCCATCAGAAGAGGGCTGATTATGTAAATTAGTTTGCATCTTATTAACTGTATAATAGATGCACTGTAGCCATCACACAGTGTAATAAAACATGTTAACATCATGTATCCCTGTTGTGACACCCTAACCTGGGCAAAATATCACTCTTGTGTTACTCATACCAAAAATGCATAACCTTAATCTAATGGCAAGAAAATACTAGACACAAACTGAAATTGACGAAAAGCCTACAAATTAAATGATCAGTACTTTTCTTTTTTGGTATCAGGGATCGAACTTGGGTCCTTGTGCTTGCGCAGCAGGCAGCAAAACCACGGAGCTAAATCCCCAGCCGATGATCAGTACTTTTCAAAAGTGTCAAGGCCATGAAAGGCAAGGAAATTCTACAGGATTATCACAGATTGGAAGAGACCAAGGACACATGACAATTAGATGCCATGTGGGATTCCAGATTGGCTCATGGAAAAGAAAATGTCATTAGTGGGAAAACATGTGAAATTTGAGATAGAACTGAGGATTTCTTACTAGTATTGTACCAACGTTAATTGCCTAGCTTTAGTAATTATCCTATGACTACGTAATATTAATATTACAGGAAGCTGGATGAAGAATACTTGGGAACTGTCTTATTTTTTGGCATAATTAATTTTGAAATAATTTTAAAATAAGTTAAAAAAATATGGTGGTAAAGAGCAGGGATTCTGTGTGCGTGTGTGTGTGTGTGTGTGTGTGTGTGTGACTGGGTATTGAACCTAGGCCTTAGGCACTGAGCTACAACCCCAGCCCATATTTTAAAATTTTTAAATTTTGACACAGGGTCTCACTAAGTTGCTAAATTGATCAGGCTCATCTTAAACTTGTAATCCTCTTGCTTCAGCCTCCCAGAGTACTGGGGTTACAGATGTGTGCTACCACACCTGGAATTCTTTATCATTGCTGGGCCATGAACCTTCTGGGTGAGACCCATGGACCCTTTCTTGGGGGGATGGTTTTAAACACATAAAATAGGATGTTTAAGATTTCCATGATGACTAATTATCTTAAGGTATAGTTATCAAAATATTCTAACGAATGGGGCTGTAGAGCCCAGTGTAGAGCATATGCTTAGCATACATGATGAGGCCCTGGGTCCTATCCCAAGTATATACAACAGATGCAATTTAAAAAATTTCAATTATAGTAATATATATGCTCCTTTATTAGCATACTCACTAACAAGATCTATGAGCAGGTATAAGAACTAGTGTAATTTCAAAACAGTGATGAGCATAAACAATATTTCAAGAAATCAGCAACTAGTAATTTGACATGAAAATATCTTGCCTCACTAAGATAGCAAAGTCACAAATACAACTAATGCTACTGTAGCTTGTTGTCTACATTCAAATCAAAGGAAATGAGAAATTTCAGTTAGAGGTTAGTGAAAATAAGAGTATAATTTTTTTCCTATTCGAGTTCACAGACCCCCTGAATTCTATTTGCAGTCTGGCAGTATCTATTACATCCCTGATGTAAATGTATATTTATTGAACTGGAAAGAAGCTTATAATATTACTAATGGGGGGGGGAGCAGGTTATAAAGCAATATGTACAGTGGGATCTCATTTTTGTAAATTAAAAATGTCTATAGTGTGTGTGCATTATGTATTCATTCAACAAGTATTCCGTGATTGTCTACCTTGCCCCAGATTCTGGGAATGTAACAGTGAAAAAGACAGACACAGTTTTAACCCTCTCAGAGAAGGGCAGCTAGAAATATTGATGACATGCAATAAAATATTGAGTGATTATTTGCTTTTTCTTCTTGCTTGCTTATCTATATTTCCTGGGTTGTCTAAGTACATATATATTTTGGCCAAAATAAAATATTTTGAAAACAAAGAAAGTTCATCTTCATGCTGAGCTGAATCTTGTCTTCAGGGAATACTCCCCGTTTCACTCCTATTTTTGCTTCCTGTGCCCCACAAAACACACTCCCACATCAGTGTTAACAGTCGTCAGGAACAGGCAGATGGTGATCTTTAGGCCTTCCTTTGTCCAGGCTGAACACTCCCAGGCTCCTTGATGGTTCTCCACCCAACTTCCTTTCAGATCTTTTCACCAGCCCTTTCTTGGGACCCACCCTGGTTTTTCCATATAACTCTTAAAGTGTGGCTTGAGAGCTGGGCTCCAGATAGCGATAGGTCTGCCTCACTTAGATCGTAAGGAAGCAATCACCTTCATCCTTATAGACATCACACTTCTGTTTATGCCGTCCAAGGCAACAATCATTTTTAAACAGCTTTGCTTACATGTAACTCACATACTATACCTATGAATTTTCTACTGCTGCTGTAACACATCATTGCAAATTTGGTGGCTTAAAATGACACAAATGTATTATAAATAAGTATGACACAGATCTTGCTGGTCTAAGATCAGTGTGCTGGCA